GGGGCTCTGTGGGACAGGGGGGACAGCTGTGGGGGTCTCTGTGGGGCAGGGGACAGCTCTGGGGGTCTCTGTGGGGACAGGGAGAGGGGCCGGGAGAGGAGGTGGGGATAATTCCCTGACTTGCCAACGACCTCCCGTCTCCCCCTGCCCACCCCAAACCCCCCCAAACCCCCCCAAACCCCCGGCGCCCCCTCCTCACCCAGCGTCTTGAGCAGCAGGGCGCAGTGCAGGCTGAGGATGACGGGCCCCAGGTACTGCAGGCTCACCACGGACACGTAGCAGTAAATCCCGCTGATCTAAAGCCCGAAAATCCCTTCAGCGGGAACCCCCCGCCACCGCCCAGCCCCGACCCCCGGCCCCGCTTCCCCACCTTCTGCTGGATCTCCAGGGCCGGGATGCGCCCGGCTTCCCTCCGCATGTGCCGCACCCAGCGCGGGGCCAGCGCCAGGTAAGCCTGCAGGTGGTGGCGCGTCCCCAGCAGGCGCAGCAGGGCCAGCGCCACCACGGCCCAGAGCCGCGCCGTGTCGTAGGACGAGTGCGACAGGCTGGGACACGGCACGGGCTGGCACCGGCATGGGGGACACGGACCCCCCCACCCTGCCCCACGGGGGACAGGGGACACAGAGGGGACACAGAGGGGACACAGGGGGGACACAGAGGGGACACAGAGGGGACACAGGGGGGACACAGAGGGGACACAGGGGGGACACAGAGGGGACACAGAGGGACACAGGGGGGACACAGAGGGGACACAGGGGGGACACAGAGGGGACACAGAGGGGACACAGGGGACGGGGGGGACACTGGGGTCACTGAGTGTCATGGAGGGTCACAGGGCACATTGGGGTCATTGGGGGGGTTTCTGGGTGTCACAGGGGTCATTGGGGGACACACAGGGGTCACAGGGGTTTCTGGGGGACACTGGGTGTCACAGGGGGTCACACAGGGGTCACAGGGGGTCCCCCCCAGGTGTCCCACTCACATCTGCACCGCCTGCTTGCCCAGCGGGGCCTGGAGCAGGAAATCCCGGGAGAGGGGCCTGACCCACATCAGCACCACCAGCACCGGCGCCACGAACCCCACGTGCAGCAGGAGCCTGCGGGACTGTCACTGCCACCGACCCCACAGAGACCCCAGAGACCCCACAGAGCCCACAGAGACCCCAGAGACCCCACAGAGCCCACAGAGACCCCAGAGACCCCACAGACCCCAGAAACCCCACAGAGACCCCAGAGACCCCACAGAGACCCCAGAGACCCCAGAAACCCCACAGAGACCCCAGAGACCCCACAGAGACCACAGAGACCCCACAGAGACCCCAGAGACCACAGAGACCCCACAGAGACCCCAGAGAGACCCCAGAGACCACAGAGACCCCACAGAGCCCACAGAGACCCCAGAGAGCCCACAGAGACCACAGAGACCCCACAGAGACCACAGAGACCCCACAGAGACCACAGAGACACCCCAGAGACGCCCCACCGACCCCAGAGAGACCCCAGAGAGCCCACAGACCCCACAGAGACCTCACAGGGACCCCAGAGACCCCACAGAGCCCACAGCCCCCCTGCCCCTCCCCTCCCACCCCAAACTTCCCCCAGAGCCAGGGGGTCCTGGTACCGAGCCCTCCCTCACTCCCCAGGTGTTCCCCATTGTCCCCAGATGTCCCCAGGTGTCCCCCACTATCCCCAGGTGTCCCCCACTGTCCCCAGATGTCCCCCACTGTCCCCAGATGTCCCCCACTGTCCCCAGGTGTCCCCAGGTGTCCCCATGTGTCCCTCATTGTCCCCAGGTGTTCCCCATTGTCCCCAGGTGTCCCCAGGTGTCACCCAACTGTGTCAGGGGTTTGTCAGCCGCCATCCTGAGGGCGTCCAGGTGTGTCTGTGCCAGGCGCAGCCCCGGGAAGGTCAGGCAGGCTCCCAGGAAGGAGCACAGGGCCACCAGCCCCAGCTTGAAGCCCAGCTTGGCCAGGGGCAGCCTGGGGACACACCGGGGACAGTGGCGGGGTGGCTGTCCCCATGCCCGGCCGCTTCCCACCCCAAACCTCCCAAAATCCACCCCAAAACGGGGCTCTGTCCCCCCCCGGCCCCCGACTCACGTCCACTCCCAGCCCCGGGGCTTCAGGATGGGCTCCAGGTTTGTGGTGACTCCGGCCAGTCCTGCGGGAGTGACCATGGGGAGTGACCATGGGGAGTGACCATGGGAGAGTGACCATGGGGAGTGACCATGGGGAGTGACCATGGGAGAGTGACCAGTGAGGAGTGACCATGGGGGAGTGACCATGGGGGAGTGACCATGGGGAGTGACCATGGGGGAGTGACCATGGGGGAGTGACCATGGGGAGTGACCAGTGAGGAGTGACCATGGGGAGTGACCATGGGGAGTGACCATGGGGAGTGACCATGGGGGAGTGACCATGGGGAGTGACCAGTGAGGAGTGACCATGGGGAGTGACCATGGGGAGTGACCATGGGGAGTGACCAGTGAGGGAGTGACCATGGGGAGTGACCATGGGGAGTGACCATGGGGAGTGACCAGTGAGGGAGTGACCATGAGGGAGTGACCAGTGAGGGAGTGACCAGTGAGGAGTGACCAGTGAGGGAGTGACCATTGGGAATGGGGAGTGACCCCTGTGAGTGATGTGACCCTCCATGAGTGGGGAGTGACCCCAGAGTGTGGAGTGACCGCTGGGAGCAGGGAGTGACCACTGGGAGTGGGGAGTGACCCCCACGAGTGAGGAGTGACCCCTATGGAGTGACCCCCACGAGTGTAAGTGACCACTGAGTGATGAGTGACCCCTGGGAGTGAGAAGTGACCACTGAGTGATGAGTGACCCCTGGGAGTGAGGAGTGACCCCCACGAGTGGTGTGACCCCCACCACCACCCCCGGCGCCCCGTCCCCGTCACCCACCGGCCTCCAGGCCGAACTCCAGGTACTCCTCGCGGACCACCAGGGCCACCATGGCGAGCAGGAGGAAGAAGAAGGCGAAGGTGAGGCACACGGAGCGCTCCCCGCCCTCCTCCGAGCGGAAATAATGCCGCATCACCATGAAGAAAACCTTGCTGCAGGGTCGGGGACGGCGTCAAGGTAAACCAGGGACACCACAGGGACCCCCAGACCCCTCTGAGACCCCCCCAAACATCACCACGAACCACCCCCACCTGCTCAGCGGGGTGAACAACCCGTGAAATCCGCTTTTACGGAAGGGAAAATCCCGCTGGAGGGGGGGTCCCTCTTCTGCCGGGTCCCCCCAGATAAAATCCCCTCGGGATACACGGAGAAGACGACGCTCAGCAGGCACCAGAGGACGCCGAGGTTGGTCTCCCTGGAGGGGCTGACCAGGCAGAAATATCCCTCGCTGAAGACGTAGACGGCGCTGGCGTAGACGGCGAAATCCACGAACCACTGGTACTCCAGGAAATAACGCAGCACTGGGGGGGCCGTGGGGACACGTCACCGCGCTGGGGACGCGTCACCGCGCCGGGGACACCCCCGGGGGGGCACGGGGAGGTACCCAGAGCGTCCACGGCGGTGATGGGGCTGGTGTCCAGCCGCAGGTCGATGTCGCGGGGCACGGACAGGGGTTTGTCCTCGCTCAGCCCGTTGGTCCTCCTGCGGGGGAAAGCGGGAGCTGGCAGCTCCCCGCGGCGGGGTGGCACTGGGGGATGTCCCCCACCCCAAAGGTTTGGGGGTGAGCCAGGCTGACCTGTCCCTCCTGCTCTTGGGGCGCTGCTTCCCGGCCAGGGCGCAGAGCTCCTCGTCCGAGGGGTGCTTGTACCTGTACAGGCTGTGGGGACAGCGGGGTCACGGCTAGGGGGGTCACAGGGGTGGGGTGTCCCCAGCAGGGTCACAGGTGGGGGGTCACAGGTGTGGGGTGTCCCCAGGGGGTGCAGGGTGTCCCCAGGGGGTGCAGGGTGTCCCCAGGGGGGTCACAGGTGCGGGGTGTCCCCAGGGGGTGCAGGGTGTCCCCAGGGGGGTCACAGGGGGTGCAGGGTGTCCCCAGGACGCCCCTGGGGACAGGGCCAGAGCCGTACCTGCCAT